GATATAGATGTTTATAGATAACAGCTATGTTAAACAAACAAAAATACCAACCAGAATAAAAATTTATAAACATGACAATAAGTGATTTCTTTCTTCTAGTTTTCTGGTATTTTCTAAATTTGCCTTGGTGAACATGTATTGAATTTATAATAAAACATAAGCTTTTGTATAATTAAACTAAAGGGGATAAATAAATAACTCAAGCAAACTTGGTGCAAGTGTTAACTACTTTTTCTCTTTTTAAGGGCTTTAATCTGTCCTTTAACCTTTCCTGTAAAGGAGGGTCTCCAAAATGTAGACATCTTAATGGGCTCAACTTAAAAACAGTAACACTGCTTTTATTTATTTATTTATTTATTTCACACTGCTTTTCTTTTTAAAGCCCTAACAGAAGTGCATGACCAGAAAGGAAAGCTCTTGGTGATTCTGGGGGGCAGGCTGTAGGGAAGGCTTCCCACAGAGTTCGCCAGGTGGGACTCTACGGTGCATGGAGGAGAAGCACGTTCAGAGCAGAAAAGCCCGAGAGGCTTAGTGCAAAATGGCAAACAGCACCCATGCTGTGCTGAGGAGCTGGGCATTCGCACCTCCCTCTCCTCCCCACCCTACTTAAACAACAAGCCCTCACTCCCACCTGACCTGCCTCTTGTCTCCCTCCAGTCCATCCCACACGTGGCTTTCAGGACCAAATCCCACAAGCACAGCTTTGATCATGATTTGGGTTTAATGATGTTTCACAGCTACCTTTATCTGCAAACTAACTTTCAAGAACCTACCATATCTGGCTTTGTCCCTCCTCTCCATCCTCATCTCCCCTCTCCCCTGCCCCAGCATCCTCCTAGATCCCTACCATAGGTTGGACCTTCTAGAGGCTTCCATCACATTGGACCCCTGGAGCACTCTCCTGACCGTCCTTCCTCAGCAAGTTCAGGATCAGTTTCACTCAAGCTAGATGGCTCAGGCTTGGTCCACTCTCCCCAGATGAGGGCTTGTAGAAATGGCAGGCACTTAGGAACTTCATAATTTTCTTTCTAGTACTTACTATATTTCACCAAATCCAAGATACACCAATTGTAAGATGAGCTATTATTTTATGCATCAGTAAGATTTTTTAAAAAGGCATCCTGAATGTTCTAAGAAGCTCTCTGATTTCAGAGATATTAAAATGTGGGAAAAATAGTCATCTTCCAACTGATTGAAATATGGTTATGGTTATGGTTATGTAAGTGCCTGGTCATAACAGGCAGCCAATAGAAGTTTATTTCCTTTTTGCCCACCCCAGTGGCAAAGTCTGTCTTATCTTTATACCCACCATGGCACCCAAGACTGGGCTCTGTGTGGAGCAGTAGTTGCAATGATGACAGTAAGAATCACAGTTAATATTTACCGAGCAATTTCTGTGTTTCCGTTGCAGTGCTGCAACTCTGTATGAACTCAGCATGCAAAGTAACTTTTACTGGTTGTTCTGGTGAGCACTACCATTATTCCCACTTTTCAGAAAAGGGTAACGAGACAGAGAGAGGTGTAGGAACTCAACCAAGTCAGGAAGATGCTAGGACTACGAGCTCAGGTCTACCTAATGCTAGACCTAGGCTGTCTGACCCACTACCCTCCAGTGTCCTCTATGGCCAGGCTTGTGGGTAAAAGGGTAACGAGACAGAGAGAGGTGTAGGAACTCAACCAAGTCAGGAAGATGCTAGGACTTCGAGCTCAGGTCTACCTAATGCTAGACCTAGGCTGTCTGACCCACTACCCTCCAGTGTCCTCTATGGCCAGGCTTGTGGGAGTCAAGGCTACAAGGGCAGGTAACCACAGCTGAGAAGCTCAGGCCTCTTCCCTCTGAAAGGGTGGTGAAGAGTTTTTGGAGATGAGGTGATTTTCAGAACTGGCTATGGATTTTATGAGAAGAGCTACATAAAAACTTCAACTTGACGTCTTCCAGCTGACTTCCTCGTTCCTGTGACTTGGGGGTTAGGCATGTGCCTCCAGTAGTCGGGTTTTATGTGCCCAATGCAATCAATGTGTGAACATTACTTCTACCTCATGATTCAGGATCCAGTTGCCTTGATGCACTGATTTTTTTTCAAACTGAGATTATATTTTAAAAATACACTTGATAAAAAGCATTTGACTTAAACATTTTTCCCAAGTTGGTTTTGAATAACTTAAATATTTCCCTTTCACTCTTCTATAGAGACAGAAAAAATAAATACATAACTCTTGAGAATCGCTCACCTTCATCTCCCTATCCCTTAATGATACTCCTTACTGGACTGGGACATATGCCTGCCTTTCTGCTGAGGCTCCTCCGTCAGCATTTTATAACTGAGTGGAAAAGTGGAGAAGGCTGGGTGGAAGTACACAGATTACCAAAGGGAATAGAAATAAAGCACATTTTCCAACTCCAAAGATCAAAATACAAAACTGCTCATTCTCCCAAGAAGTAAAACAGCAAAGTGTAAAAAATATCTTAACACAAGAAAATGTGGCCATGGTTTCCAGGTACTGTATTCCAGAAGCAAAGCTGCCCCTTTACCATATCATCCTGCTGGGTCTGTCACTACACCATCTGATACACAGGGTCACCAACTCTCAGGCTTCCAATTTTTTCCACTGAACAATAGATCCCAAAAAGTGGGGACGACTTGTATATCTGCTTCTCAGAAGGATCACACAGGCGGTAGCTGAAAGAAGCAAAAATTTATCATCAGACACAAAAAGGAAATCTAAGTGCTCTACATAGAACTCAAGTTTTCATTCTCAGGTTATTTATAAATAAATAGCAGCCTTTTCTAAAGTTGACAGAGACAACTGTGGACAATCAGTCAAACTGCAAATAATCCTGGTTTTTCGAGAAGTATCCTGAGAGTCTAAACAATTTTTAGATGGCTTTGGTTTGAGGCCAAAAAATAACCACTTAGATGTGTAAGTATAAAACACTTTGTTGACGTGAGTACCTCAACTTCACAACTCATTGAAACAAATGTCATGAAATCTCAAAATAGAACTGCCCTGAGCTCTCCAAACTTCTTGTTTAATGCATTTAAGTGCTTTGCTTTCAACACCTTCCAAGCTTGTAAGCCCAAAGCTGTGGTTTGTTGGTGAACAAAAATTAAGACAGATATGCAGTTGGCAGGTGAGTCTGGACTACTGCTGAAGCTAATTTTTTTTTCCCAAGGGCCTGCCTGAAGAAAAAAGAATTAACTTCACTGTATCTTAAACATTAAAAACCAAAAACAAAACAACTATAAATTTGAAGGCTTGAAGAAATAACCTCTTCTCTAACCGAAACCCAGTAGAAACAAACAAAACAGAGGAAAGGGAAACAAAACAGAATTCAGCTCCAAAAAATGTTAATTTAGGTCTAAAAACACATTTTACATTAAGAACTAAAGTCATCCAAAATTCTTTAAAGAACAAAACAAAAGAAAAAACCTGGCATAAAATAAACTCCTAGATAAACTCTGACAACTCATTACATTCCTTTTTTTTCTAATATTTTATTATGCAATTCCAATTATCCTCCTATTGATTCTAATAAAGGAATTTGAGCTGCAATAAACATAATTAAATAAAGTATTTGGGCTTTAATTTGGAAATGTCCATGTTAATATTATTAAAAATTGATATGAGAGACATAATATTATATAATTAATAATTTATAAAAAGCACTAAAGGATCCATCCAGAAAAAAAAAGGAGGCAACAGGTAATCACTCACATTCACTGACAGACACAAACCAACCAGAAGGCAGGTGGAAGGTGCCCCTGGATAACAAGGTCACATGCACCTTCTTAAAGCATAAGCTCAGACATAGCACCTAAACCCACAAGTAGCTCTGGGATAGGGACATTATTAAAAATACAATAGACACATTAGTGTTCTACCTCTTCAGGGTTTCCAGTGGCTCCTTCCTGTCTATGACTCCAGTATCTGGGTCCACAGTGGTCATAATGCACCTGTCACACAATAACCAAGGGTTAGGTGACAGCTAAGAATGAAGGAGCATGCCACACCCCTGAGGTCAAGTCTAGTGAGAATCCTTACCTGGAGCAAGCCAACACCTTTTTCATTTCTACACCACCAATTAGGAGTTCATCCCAGGTGTCCTAGCAGAAAAGGGAAAGTTATCTTTTTAATTAAGTCTTGCAAGCCTGTAAGTCCATTTATTTCTTGGCTGGTACTAACTACGAAACTAGCAGAAGTAAGCAGCATGAGAAGACACCAAGAAATAGGTCCCAAAAGGGCTCAAAGGGAGGTAACATGTTGGTGAACCCAGGTCCACCTCCTGACTCACAGCCTCAAAGCCCTCATTCTGTCAGCACAGCACGAACAGACCTTCTATGATGCAGTTTGCCATGAGAATCATAAATTAACTAGAAGGCAAATATACTGATGTCCAATAAGAAATGTATAGCTTACAAGACAAGCCCTTCTTTCCTTATAGCTAAGCCATGATGGAAGCCAAGTTAAAATCCGAAGATCCTTTAATGAGTGGAACATCAATCTCCCAAGAGAAGTTGGTGACGATTGACACATTCAACACTGCCACCCCCACAAGGCAGCCTGCCAGCAGGGTCCTCGCATCCCGAGGTCACTGACGGTGGTCAGTCTTCCCACCTTGAACATGGGCACTGCCAATGTTTGCCTCAGGGCTCCAAGCAATCCTTACAACTTTGAGGGCAGTACTACTGTGATAATCTCCACTTTACCCAAAGAAAGAGGCCTAGAGAGGGTGAGAAATTTTCTCAGGATCACAGCAGAAGGATGTAGGACAGCTAGGTTTGAAAATCTTTCTGAAGGCAGGACTTTTAACCTCCCAGCGTTTAACCATATGTGCACACACACACACACATACATGCATAGGTATACATACACATATATGAAGGTTATAGATATTATATGCATATATAATATGATTTGTGTTATATGTACCCCACATACACATACATATATATATACACACATACAAGAGTGCTTCAAATAAGTTCCGGAAAAAATAGAATTGAAAGATAATACAAATCTTTCCATGAATTTTTTGAAGTACCCTCATGTAGAAGTTATACAGACTATATCGTAGGGAAGGCAAAATATTACCTCTACCCTCTGAGGGTTTTTTTTGACTGGGCCTTAGAATTAAATTGACATAAGACAGGACAAAAGTATACAAAGTTACTCAATGTAAGTTTTCCATGGCGCGGGTGTGGCTGGGGTTGAGTGCATGCATGCTGAAGCGAGTGAGGGAGAGGTGACAGGCAAGGGGCTTGTGCTAGGCTAGTTAATCAGGTAGAGAACTGACTAGGAAGATAAGGGTTAGTTTAACCAGGTTTGTTTGTGCAGATTTCCCTCAGCCTCAGGTTCCGGTCCTTGATGATAAGAAGGACACTTTCCCTCAGGTACAGGGAGGGCAGCTTTCACAGGGGCATTCCAACTCCTGCTTTTAAGAAACAGAAGGAAGGTCAGAGTGATCTTGCACTTGCTGTTTTTCAAGTGCCTTTAACTCAAAATAGTCAATATGCCAGAGTGTCATATTGTGGGGTGGCATGTTCAGTATTATTATATATGCATACATAGTATGATATATATATCAGAAGGTCTGAGACGTACAACCGCTCGACTCATGATTTGTTGACTTTACAATCAGTTTATCTGGACGTAACTGGTTTGTAAGTCGAGGAGCATCTGTATTCGGGAGGCGGGCATGTAGAGCTATATAAAGACGACAGGTGCCTCTTGCTAATAGGGGAGCCATCTGTGTTTATCTTTAAGATACCTATGCCTGCCTCTGCTGAGACCTACCGATTAAAGTTTGAATAGCCCACGGTAATCCTTTGTCCAGGTCTCAGGGGGAGAGGTGGGAGGCATAGGGAGATGGGGCCTCACTACAGGCTCCACAGACCAGCAACAGAGTCTATACTCAGATGCAGAGTGTCCCTCGACAAACCGTTTCTTTATTTTTTTTTTCATTTACATGCCTTTTATTTAATATCTTGGTAATTTAACCAAACAGTTAATTAGTGAAAGCTTCTTTTATAGAAATATCCTAGATAATATAAGAAAATAAAGTATAGAACTAAAATATAAACATCTTTCAATTCCTAATGAGTCAATTGTTCCAGACAATGATCATCAATGGTCAATATAGCAAAAAGTGATAGACATGTACCTCCTGATGAACTCTGCAATAACACTTATAAAATACAAAATTGAAATGGAATCTCATTAAAACTCTTTATTTCACTTCCAATTTATTTTCTAGTACTAAGAGGGATATAGAAATACATGAAAAAAACATTGCGAGGTTATAATAGGCACAATTCAGATCATGGAACTTATACATTACAAATAATTGAATTTCTTTAACAATGACAACATTGCAGGGGAAAAAAAGATGGAGAAAGTCAGAACCTAAAGATTGAAAGAGATTTGAGAGGGAAATCAACAAATTATAATATATGGATCTTATTTGAATCCTAATTCAAGCAAATGGTGAAAATCAACCAATCAAAAAAAAAGCGAGAATATTTATAGAAAAATTGGATAATTACAAACATTGATCATAATTATAAAAATTTATGTCATTATTCCATGACATAAAGGGATAATTTATTTTGATATGATAATGGTATTGTGCATAAACCGTTTCTTGATCTCAACCCAGGCAAGGTTTTTGGAGACCAGGAGTCTAGGGATTTGGCAAGAAATCAGAAAATGAGGAAATCTATGCCTGCACACCTGGCTGCTTCCCTTCCCCTCAGGGGCATGGGAGAGAACTGAAGCCCCTTTCTGGATGAGGCAGAGCAGAGCAGGGGGTAGGGACTAAGACCACAGCCTTTCCACTTCTGCTGCTGATGATCAACAGGTCAGGCTTTGGTCGTCTTTCAGGAGTAAATAACCACCCCACCCCACCCACCACCGGGCCTTGTAGGGGTGATTCAGCAAATGCATAAAAGGGTCTCCAGTACATAACTGGGTCTTCAGAACTCAGACATTCCCTACCAGTTATGACCACAGCTACAAATTGAGTTGAGGAGGTCTCCATGGTGCCCTGGGTTCCCAACTATCCTTTAGGAAACTGTTTTTGTGTGGAAATAAACTCCATATTCCAAAATATCAGTTGATGGGTGTTGGGGAAATGGAACAGTTTGATCAGACTCCCCTCACCTCGGCACCAGTTCAGGGTCGTTCAGTAAGCATTGTGTGTGGGTGGAGTAAGTGTGCCTGCACGATGGCGCCGCTTTGGCTGGTGTTTACTGCCTCTGGTGCCCTCCCTGCGTGGCCATGTTTTTCCAGACCTGCAGCTTCCAAGGACCGTGTGGCTGGTTGTCTAGCTCACAGACCTGTGTGAAGAGGTCTTGTGACCCAGCCTGGCATGTGAAGGGTTTGTGACCCAGTATGTGAATGGGCTTGAGGGGTCTGGGAGCTCCAGACCCAGCCCTAGCTCAACTATCGGCCCAGTTGGTGCAGGATTACTGGTAGGTAAAAGAGCCGCAACAACTAGCGTGGTCGCCTAGCTTTACAATTGGGCATCACTCGGCCCGGTGGCGCACTGGATAGTGCGCCGCTTGGGAAGCGCGGCGGCGCTCCCGCCCGAGGGTCTGGATCCCACATACAGACCGGTTCCCGCTCACTGGCTGAGCGAGGCGCGGGAGCAACGCCGAGGGTTGCGATCCCGTTGCCGGTCCCCGGTCCGGTACGGGGGCAACACTGAGGGTTGCAAACCGTTGCCGGACACAGAAAAAAGACAAAAGACAAAAAAAAAAACCAATTGGGCATCACAAACAGGATTAAGAGCTAGACAATTGGCACTGTGAGGATTCCAAGCCTCACAGTAGCCTTAGCAGTAGCAAGAAAATGGGTGAACTAGGTAACCTTTATAAAAGTCAAGGACACTCCATGTAGTGAATGGAATCTTCATCTCCTAGCTAGATCTTATTATAAGCAATCTCCAAACAGAAAACTGCAAGACAACCGTAGCACATGGCAAGTCCCCTGGTGGAATGTGACCTCAGATGGATGGGGTGTGACCTAGAAATACAGCTCCTGTACAGGGAAGGGATGGGTGGTGGCCCTGGCGTTTCACTGCACAAGCGCGCTGAGGCCACAGGCATGAGAGGCGATCTGGCAGCCCCGTACAGAACTAACCCTGCACTCTCCAAGTACCTTCATTCAATTTCCTTTTTCCAAGTGATGATGAATGTCATATTTCAAGGCCACATATCTGAGTTAATTCTGCATCATGAATATTATAGAAAGCAAGCAAGTCTGAAAAGTTCAATTAGGTTTCCTAGCTCAACAAGACAGATTTTAGTGATCTGCTCTTACACCGTTAAACATCTGGAGGAGCCAGTTTAGAATAGCAAATTGTCTGGATTCATAGGAGTTGTCAGCAGCACCCCCCAATGCCAGCTCTAATTACCTCTAAAATATTAATCACATCATATAATCATGTCACCCACCCTAATCTGATCATTGTCAGCATTTTGGTTAAAGCATTATTTGCAATAACAACATATTAAGCAAACTAAGTTTAATTGCACTTATTAATCCAGTTATTACCGGAAAATAATAATACATTTTAAATTATTGAAAAATGAGTTCAAATTAATATTGCATGAAATTAAAATTTCCATTACATTCTACTGGACATACACCACTTAGTGACATACACTATTCAGCAAAATTCCAGCGTCTTCCCTAAACATAAAAGCAGCTCTAAGAGCTTGGTGCGCCCCCTGCTGGGGATCATCCTCTCTGCAGTCTGACAAAATATAGGTACCTGGGACGTTTTAGAGTGAAAGGATAAAACCATGGAGTTTTTGAGATGAAAGAAGGAAAGCAAGGACACGAAAAAGGTAAGGAGAAAGGGGCAAGTACTATACGCAATGGGCTGAGCTCTTTGGAAATAATCCTGAGAATTTGCTGTTAATTTGCACACATCTTGTAAATACTAAATTAAGACTACACAGTTTTCCATCACAAGCAGCACCCAGCACCCAGCAGAAGAGGTAGAAGATGTTGTTGACACACAGAACAGCACAGGTGAGGGTGCTTGTTTACCTGAGACCTTCACTAGAATCCACATCGGCATTTGTCAAGCAAAAAATTA